GAGCATTTCTTCAGTATATGTGTAGGCTCATTGTCGCCATTTGATCTTAATTCTCCCTACTATGTGGTCAAAAAATTAAAATATGTAGATGCTGAGAATATGCAATCACTATTCAAAATTGAAACTGTTTTCCTTAAAACTAGGAATTACAAAATTTACAATACGCCTCATAATTTTGATGATTGAATATAAGCGACATTTTTATAAAGTAGAGATATATTTATTAATAAAAGGATAATTAACAAATGAAAGAAATAAGCATTAAAACTCAGGGTAATTATATTATAATTAACAAATTGTTTTATATTTAGGAGAAGGAATTAGCCCCTACTTAAGACAAAAATTTAACTAAAATCATCAAGTACCAAGAAAATAATAGTTTAACCCAAATCAAATTACATAAATTTTATCCAAAAAGGTAAAAATTAAAGAACTCTGGTCTCTAAAGAGATTTCAAATAAATATCATCAATCAAAATCAAGAACTCAATTTTCTATTTTGAAAAGGAATTTAAACCCTAAGATATGAAATTTAAGGGTAAATTCAAACTCACATTAAAAAATAACTTAATATCTTTGAAAGGAACTTAATTGGTCCTCATAATTAAAAAATAAATAAGTTATAAGAAGAATCTGATGATGGGGAAATAATTTTCAATATGATGGTAAACAAATTACTTTGTGACCTCAGATAATAATAAAAACAATTGACCATGTTAATTACTCCAAGGCCTCTTAAATGGTTCGCATTGAGTTAAGAACTATCAAATACTCTTAGGAATATTTAATCTATGTATCTCAAATATAAAATAAAATATTAGATCAAATTTTTTATTCGAAGTGTCATCAGATATCAATTATACCTCCTCAATTATAATTTTATTTATCTTGTTATTAATTTTAAATCCTTCGAAATACTTTATTTTATTTATTCCCAAAATTAAAGCCTAATTAAAGAATATTTATCAAATTATTACCAAATTAATCTTATAATATAACTTCTAATTATACAATAAAATATTTAGCATTAACTTTTGAAAGAATTTTATTTGAATTTTTGTATGTTTCATTCAAGCTAGATTAATCTCATAATTCTTTTGGAGACAAGGCTCATCTAATCAGTCATACTTTTATGAGTTCCTTACAAGATTATGTCAACAGTATGGAGTAGTTTTTTCCATCTTCTAAATCTCTTAGATATGATTGATATTCATGCAGCGTCCATGCTTTTTAAACTTCAGGCAGTCGAATTTCTAGAGGTTAAAGTAAGCATATACAGGGATACGTCTAATAATTGAGTGAATTGGCCTTGATAAGGATTTTTGATTCTTTATCTAGATCGTGATTTTTTTGCTTGATATCAATTTTTTCTTCTTGATATAATTTATTCTTCTTAGTTTCGTGCTCCTTAATTTGCTGTTTCCATTAAATATTTTTGTTAGTGAACTTGTTAGCAGCAATCACAGAATCATCAGTATAAGCAAGATCTATGATTTCGTCATTGTATTTTATTCTTTCTAGTATGTTTCCTACCGAACCTACATTTGAACTCCTTTATTTTATGATTGAAAGTTCTGATTTCAAAAATAGGTCAAGCAATAAAGGCTTAGTACTTATCCTATGGCAATTGATATTAAATCTTATTCTTCCTTAGTCATAGATCAAATAAGTAGAGTTTCATCTCGGTTGAATAGAACTTTAGACATTTCTCATCGACAACATCAATGCTCTTTTAATCCATCCACACTATTATGAGCTTTAGAGAGATCGAAAAGGTCACATTTTTATAATTTTTCTTCAATTCAATTCAAAAAGTAACATAGCGATTTGAATCTAGTTTCCTAAATGTTAATTGATTCGAAATCCTCCACCAGTAGTGGCTATATTAGATGTTTTCATTTTTATGGGGATCTATATCTGAGCCAAAGAGAATAAATTCTATTATTTTCACTTTTCTTTGTAGAATAGGCCCATGTAATCCATTGTGTCTGCATAATTAGTCTAATTTTTGTATTGTGAGTGAATTCATATGAGATTGTTTATTATACTGTTAGAGATATTAGTCACTTCTCTCTCTAGGATTGAGTCGAGTCTATATAAAGTCAATCCATTAAGTTTACTACACAACTTGTGTAACAACATATTTTGTAAGATCTAAATCTCAACTGGGAAATTATTCCTATAATAAACGTTATTTCACACTATTTAAACTGATTTATGGAAAGAAAATGAAAATAGTTATATAATTTTCATGAAAATTGTAATTCAAATATTTCACATTCAGTAAGATTCGGAGATTCTTATCCATATAAATGAGATGATCTCTTATCCTCATATTTATCCCATAAATATGCGCTTCCCAATAGAGAATATCCTCTTTGAAAATCATCACAAACGACTATATCGTGCTAACCATTACCATTATTACCAAAACAAGGTCCATAGCTCTAACCACACCATATAGCATATTATTTTTTATCTTATTTCAACGGATAAATTTAATTATGAGTCTATGAGAATAAAAAAGATGATAATGTATCATCTTAAACAAATCCTTTACTTTAATGCCATGAACAAGGAGAATATCCACCAAATATATATCCACTTGAAGATTTAAAAATGATTAGTAAATTGCTCTTAATTGCATGCATTCCAAAATGATTAGTTGTTGTTGCAGTTCAATTTATTTCATTTGATGCTGTTATTGTTTTCTTAAATTTCTCTTACAAAACATAAAATATACGAAACCAAAATTCCTCTTTTAACAATTTTGG